GCCCCTTCTGCCCAATGCCCCGCCTTTACCCCACCCATTCCATCCCCCCCTCGCACGCTGGAGCCCCAAGCCCCCACTGCAGCTGGAGGAGCCCCAGTCGAGCCGCTCCAAACACCAGCCCGCTCACCTCAGCTGTCCAGAGCTCTGGGCAGCCGGCCGATCCACCCCAGCTGCACCGGCCAGCCCAAGCCATTCCTGGCTGCTGGCTGGCCTGTGCGCCCACTGGCCTGAGGTGCCCCAGGTCTCCAGCCAGCCTAAGCCCCAAGCTCTGGGCTGCTGGCACAAGCTGAGCCCCCCACTGGCTTCAGGGGAGAGGCGGAGCAAAGGTGGGGCCTTGGGGCAGAACGTGGGTGGGGCCACGGCCTGGGATTGGGGAGGTTTAGCCTCCTCATGCCTATTATACCCGCTGCTCATGTGTGTCCCAGCTCTGTCTTAAGTGCTGCAATGTGCCACGCGTCCACCACACATAACAGCACGCACAGACTCCCGTGTTTCGGTCGAGGGGCAGCCTGGGGCTCCTTCTTTTAGCACACTGGTAATACTTCACATGCTTAGAGGATTGAGTTCAACCTCACAGCAGTCCGGGAGTGAGGGATGAGGTAGCAGCAAAAAGCAGCCTGGCTTGAGTCACATCTCAGGCTGAGTGCACAGGGTTGGCAATTCGGGAGCACCGCCGGCCCCAATCTCACTACTTGTGTAAACTAAGCAATTTGGATATGAAGTCACTCAGGTTCTAATGCAGAGTCACTCAGGTTCTCATACCTGCTTTAACTCCATCCTGTCCCTGCCCTGTGGCTAGAGACCTTCACTTGTTGCTACATAAAACATAGTGTTAGCCTTTAAATTCAGGCAGCACAGGCCCCAGCCACACAGTGCTGTAACCAGCCCCTCCTGTATCTGCCCATCCAGGGTATCAGGGGGGCCTCAGGGCAGATTGAGGACGAATCCTTGGAGCCCTGCACTGGAGAGGGCCCCATAGCGATCCGGAGGTGGGACACAGCTAATTGCTGGTGGCCAGCGGGCTGAGTGGGGAGCAGCCAGCAGCTGACCATCACCAGTTGCCAGGATGCTTCCAAGGGGGGGGCCACGTCTGAGCCAGCCCCTCCTCTCCTCAGATGTGTGGGACAAGGGTAGGTCTCTGGCCTGTACGAGGAGGGTGAGATCCCATTGGGAAGGCCCTGACCTGCTGCATAACCTGAACTGAGTCAGCAGCTCCCTGTGTCTACTCTCCCATCTGTAAAATGGGCACTTGGACACTTTGGGCGGCGCTCTGGGGCCTGGGGGTGAAAAGCACCCACGACACAGCCAGTCCGTTCCCCCCCAGGAATCCCTCTCTTCACCCTGGGAATGTTTAATAAGTTGGCCTGCTCCCATCTCCACCTTGGCACATCCCTGCTCCCTGCTGGGTGACAGCCCCGGGGCACAAAGCAAGGCTGGGTGGGGGATGCAATCTAAGTAGGTGGCAGGAAGAAGTTCCATTAGCCGACTCCTGCAAGGGGTATGCAAGGGGTTTAACATGAGGTATGGGGGTAAGTGCATGTGGGGCAGGGGGAAGATGAAGAAGGGGCCAAGAATGGTGGGATTGGGCATACGTACCAGCATATGGTTTCATTGCTTCTTGTGGCTGCTGGCAAAGTTCCATCTTTCTCCAGCTGGCCTCCTTTTTATTAACCTGCCGGGACACTTTGTGATGGACGTTCCCGCGGTCAGCAGTCAGGTCGTGTATAATGGCCTTGCCATGTGGGGAGCTGAGCGCAGGAGGGCTCCTTGTGTTTGCACCGATAGCTCGTTGCACCCCTGTGTCAGCCAAACAGCCTGTCAGGGCAGCTTGGAGACCCGCATGGCTTGGGATGCACCTCCCCTTCCCAGAATATGCCCTAGTCCAGTGTACTGGTCCCTAGACTCCAATAGGGAGGGGAAAGGCTCAGGCCACCTGGGAAAGACACAGTATGCAACAGAGAAGGGACGTGTCTGTGACACTTTATACTCATTAACCATTTCCATGCCAGTCAACACCTGCTCGTCCCCTTCAGGCTGTGGGCAGAGGAATGGCCTCTCATTCGGTGCCCAGCTACCCTTCTCAGCAAATGAAACCTCAGAGCCTCTTGTTCAACTGCTGCACAGCACCCGGCTGAACTGGTCACCGTGCGAGTGACATCCCGGCACGGTACCAGGAGCTCAGGGCCGCCTCTTGCCTGTCATCAGTGCAGGCTTGGCACATGTGGTGGCCTCATCTCAGACACGCTGGTCGCTGGCCAGCAGTGTGCCAGGACTGGCATAGCAGGACTTGCTGCTGGTCAGGATTAAGATGCATTGGCAGAGCTGTGTGGGTGGGATTGTGGTGCATTGACAAAGCTGTGGCGGGGGTGGGAGGAGGGGATGTCCAGGGCTCTGTGTGTATGTGTGTATGTGGGGGTATCCCTGGACTGGACTGGCAGGGAGGCAGGGTGTGGGTTGGGACTGTGGTGGATATGCAAAGCTGTGTGTGTGTTGGGGGGAGCCCAGGGCTGGGCTGGCAGGAAGTGCTGCAGCTGTGAATTCAAGTGGCTTGAAAGAGCTGTGTAGGGAATCTTGCCTGGCCCTGCAGTGCTACCCCCGTCTGACTTTAAAGAGCTGATTGAATTAATCACTGCAAATAATTCACCTGATGAATAGCGGCATTTTCATTCAGCTTATTCACAAATCGTATTTTTCATTCTCCAGCTGGCTTGACAGACAGTCTAATAATGAGCCCAGGACCTTCGTCGGCAAATGTTGGCTGTCAGTCACTGAGCAAATTATTCCCAAACACACTTTTGCATTATTTGACCCGCTCCAGCGACTGGTGTCACGTCACTCACAATTAGGTTTTGCGTTTTTTTAAATATATAAACAAGCAATACAGAAGAATGATGCAGCCATAGCATGAGTGATGGCAGAGAGGGAAAAAGCCCGGAACATCAGCAGTTCTGGATCAGGCACCTTGGTTCTTAAAACAGGAATGCCAAGCCATGCAATATGGAGCAAAGGATTGTTTTCATCTACATCTCCACTCCCAGATGCAATGGGGAATCATCTCCAGATTGCAGCGATGAATCACATTGGGGTGTTACACTGGGGACTGACTGTTTCTTGGGGCTTGTATTTTTACTGAGAATTCTCATCTAACATATTGAGATAGTCCCACTCGCCTTGGTATTTGAGCACCATACAGTTTTTAATGAGTTTAGCCTCATGGGCCCCCTGTGAAGTACAGGGTGTGCTTATCCCCATTGTGGCACACAGAGAGGTTAAGTGACTTGCCTAATGTCACACAGGAAGTCGGTGGCGGAGCAGGGGCTTGAACCAAAGTTTCCCACATCTGAGGCTAGCATCCCTAGCCACGGGACCATCCTTCTGCTCTTAACATAGTTTCAAATGCCAGCAATCATATTTAACAGACTCCAGGAGGCTGAAAAATTGCCAAGTCCCCTTTTCTCTTGAGGCACAGCATAAAATGACCGGCACTCAGACACACAATCAGACCGAGCGGGCCGGCCTATCTTGAGAGCTCATAGTGAGACAGACATAGCCACCCTGACCCAAGGAGCTGTAGGCAGCAGGATTGCTGCTGTCACTGGTGTGGACAGGCAGGTTACTCCCATCCCAAAACAAGATAGATGAAAGATCATCTGATTGCTCATGTCATTCCTGCAAGGAGCCAAAAGAACAGAGCTGGTCAGAAAAGCACTGTCTGCAGTTGCTTTGTTTGAAACTTCCCCTGGGTCTTCTGATTTTTGGCCAAGTGAAACCAAATTTTGCATTTCAAACACAAATTTTTTGTTTGTTTATGAAAGTGTTCAAAAACCTAAAAAACCATATTTTTATTTGTAGGTTTTATTTGTCAGGCTCCCCTCCCCTCTTCACCCCCCTGCTTTCCAGTGGGAAAATGGGTGGGGTAAAGAGAAAGAAAAGGGGACAAAAATTCCCCCCCAAAGCCAAGAATTTCTTGATTTTCAAAAAGAGAAACAAAAATTTCAATTGGGAACAAAACTACACATTTTCGCCTGGTCAAAAAATAAGAAAACACCTAAGGACCCAAAAATTTGACACAGAAATTTTCTTTGCCTTCAAAAGATCTTTTTTCATCAAAAAAGCCCGTCTGACAAAGAAACATGGATCAGCTCTACAAACATAGCTGAAATGCAGGTCTACCACCAAGCTGTTGGTCTCGCTCCGTTTGCCAGTGAGCTAATAATCTCCCCATCGCACAGACCACCACCAAACATCGCCCTAATTGGGATTATAGTCAGCCAGTCTCAGAAGAGAAGACAAAGGTTGAACGGACCATGGAGACTCAAAAATGCTGTTACCCAGGCTATCCCAGGTCTCCTAGCTATCAGTGGACTTCTGTCCTAAGAGCCTCACTGACAACTTTCTTTAAAAAACCAAAACCAAAACCAAGAAATAAAAGTAAAACTACGATAACGTCAAGGCACAGGCGGAGTCCCTGACAGTACAGTGTGTTCTGGCACAAGGTATTTTTTATCTCTGGTTTGGAGTCCAACATGGCAGAGCGCATTTAAATGCGGTGACATTTACACTTCAAATGGCTCTTACGTCTCAGCGGGCAGCTTTATCTAGAGCATATGTATGGAAAATAGAGGCTGGCCCCAGAGTACAGTGCAGAGTGGGGGAGTGGTTTGAAGGTGGAGTGGGGACTTGAAAGGGACGCCAGCTCTTGGTTGCGTTTGCTGGGCCTGACATGAAGGAAAGAATCAAATGTGCGTTTTCTGCAAGCTGGTTACCAGGCAGTAACCGCGCCTTCGCAGCAATAAAGCCCCTTCCCGTTCCCGATCACCTCCTGTCCGAGTTCCTTCCCAAGCCATAGGCCCATTCTGAGGCATTTAGTGTCCCCCTTAACTCCACTCACTTCACAGCAGGTAAGGAGAGGCTGCAGGCTTGGGCCTCACAACCCAACAACCCCCTAGCCTTCCCCCCACCACCTGGCCCTCAGTGAAGGCGATTGAGAGGTCACTCACATGTTGCCACTGGTCAAGGATGAGGGGGCGATACCTCAAGAAGAATTTGAGCGGAAAGGACTCGGGGTCAGGCCAAGAGGAAGGGTTCTGCCACCTCACTTCGAGCCTCCGGGGGTTGTTGGATACTGGCTTGGCCACCACATTCTCTGGAGGGTCCGGCTTTACTGGAATAATACAGAAAGGTCTTTTTACACCTTATACTCTTAGTCCATTCTCATGCTATTTCACAATACAGGGCTGGGGTAGCTCTACTCCAGGTACAAACACACCACAGGTAACTTCCTCCCATGGTACATTTTGCCACTCACAAAATATCAGTTACATGTGCAACATGGCCACGAAGCTTCTAGACTCCGCCTTATACTTTGTGGCTATGTTGCAATATGTTTTATGAAGCATACAGTAAATACGTGGAATAGCAGATGCTTTTCCCTGTACAGATTAGAAGCAACAGGTACTACATCGAGGAGGGTCACACAGACAGATACATGTACAGGGGTGATAGACAGAGAGACAGACAGACATTGTACTTGAGGACTAGTGAGATGAGGTGACTGGTAATGAGTTATAGACACTTGTATGGTACACTTCTAAGCCGTCTGTGCTCAATCCTGACCCCAAACCCCCATTCAAGGGGATGACCCAGGAGGTCCCTTCCAGTCTGACATCCTATGTTCCTATGAAATCGAAGGGCCAAAGCTGGTGCTCGTTACTCAGCCGAGCTGACTTCAAGGGGAGTTTGGCCTGCATAAGAATTGAGTAAAAGCCTCAGAATTTGGTCTTTGACTTTGATGAAGATTTAGGCTTCAGAAGGACTGAGAACATAGGATTCAACCCAGGTCAGTTACTGACTCTTCATGATCACCCAGAGCACAAGTCCCTTCTGTTTTACCTTCTTCCCCCAACTTTCAGCCTCTTCCCCTTTGGCTCTAGTTTGGGGTATTGGAATATTTGCTCACCTACTTCAGAGGCGTTTTGAGTGAGTAATTAGCTGAAGTTTGTAAAGCGCTTTGAAGCTGAAGACATATTAGGGTATCAATAGCAAATCAATCATTACTATACTTAGAGACAGGCCATTTTCTTCTTGGGGAATGGGGCGGTGTCCCACCAAGCATTGTTGAACTGAACTCCCAACTTCTAAAACTTTTAATTTGCTTTAGCAAATCTATGAAAGGCCAAGGTCAGTGTGAGGGCATTAGTGTGCTGCACTATTTCATGTTAAGAACATAACATAAGAATGGCCACACTGGGTCAGACCAAAGGTCCATCTAGCCCAGGATCCTGTCTTCTGACAGTGGCCAGTGCCAGGTGCCCCAGAGGGAATGAACAGAACCGGTAATCATCAAGTGATCCATCCCCTGTTGCCTATTCCCAGCTTCTGGCAAACAGAGTCTAGGGACACCATCACTGCCCATCCTAGCTAATAACCATTGATGAACCTGTCCTCCATGAACTTATCTCGTTCTTTTTTGAACCCTGCTATGGTCTCGGCCTTCACAACATCCTCTGGCAAGGAGTTCCACAGGCTGACTGTGAGTTGTATGAAGAAATACTTCCTTTTATTTGTTTTGAACCTGCTGCCTATGTTCTGTGGTAATTAACAGTGTGTTAATTATTGAACAGGTGAGAAGCACAGAGGTTGCAGGGCGCCTAAACCTAGCTGTGTGTTCTGTCTCTCCATTCATGCTTATACTCTCCTGGGGAGCTGGTTAGATAGATATGCCCCAGAACCTGGCAGCCAGACACATCCAGATTGCAAAATAAACCCTGCCTGAGAAAGCTGTGTGCTCCTGTCTGTGCACCAGTGTGGGCCCTTCCAAACCAAACAGGTGAGCGAATCCCTCCGGTTCTGCTCTCAGCTCAAGGGCAGTGACGGCAGAACAAGTCACTGGGCTACACGATCTCTTTCCCTCACTGCAGCAACGCAAACAGGCACCAGCCGTCTATAGCTGCACGGAGATGGAGCAGGGTGGGAGGTGGTTCGACAACGCACTTTCACAATGGGAGAGCAATTCTATCGTCTCCGGGTAAGTGGGGACTGGCCCAGAGCCCATTGATGCCAATACAAAGATGGCCTCTGACTCCACTGGGCTTTGCCTCAGTCTCAGGGAGCAAGCCTGTGCAGGAGGTATCATCACACCAATTTTGGAGATGGCTTCCTGGCCTGTGGTACACAAGAGGCCAGGCCAATAATGGCCATCTGGCCTTCAGTATCTGCAGATGACATGACTTCCACCCCACTCTGAATACACCCCCTGGCCAATCATCTCCATGGCAACTGACTGGCCAGGTGACGATCAGTGACTAGGATTCACAAATTGGGACTCAGCAGCAGAGGGACACCTGGAGCCGAGGACCCGGTTCAACCAGAGCCTCCTCAGCCTCTCTCAGTCCCAGATCCTCTCTCTGCGGGTGTCTGATGAACAGTGGGCCTCATGAAGCTATGCCCTCTGAGCCCCACGATTCCAGGGGAGCTGCTGAGGTGATGGGCTCCCTCCAACCTCATGCAGTATTGGGGTTCAGGCTCGGGAGGGGACCTCCCTTTCTGCTCCGTCTCTGCCGTGCTCACGACCCTGCTAGCCGACAGTCCGGTGCCTCCCTAGCCGGGAACTGGAGAGGGAGCCCCTCGCGCCAGGGCGCTGGAAGTTTAGTATGAGGGAGGATGGGGCTTTCAGGGTAGCTCTTGGCCATGCAGCACTCTGCCAGAGGGGCGGAGGACCCCACGGGAATCCTCGAGGCCTTTGAATAAAACTCAAGCTGAGTGTAACGTGTCTGTCTGTCTCGTCTCCAGCAGCCTCTGGAGGAGTCCACCACCCTAGCCCTGGCTGCTGTTGGACAGTTCCACAATCTGCAGCCTGGTTCTCTCTGTCGACAGGAAGAAGCTTGGACAGGATGAGCCTAGGTTTGTAACTAGAGTGCCTTGGCTTCCTCTGGATGCCTCCAACGGTTACTCCTCTGCTTCCTACCACAGGACTTTGGCCAGTGGTGATTCCTGTGGACAATGGTACAACCACACACAAAAGGCAGGTGGCCAAAGGACTCACAAGGGCAATAGATCATGCCCTTTATCCAAAAGTGTTATGGAGGAGTCACCGGGTGGCGCTGTTATACGCAGTCTTTTTCTGAGTTCTTTTTCTGAGCATGCAAGTGCTGTTCAGCCTTTGAAGTCATGCTGCTTGTTGTTAGTATTGTGATGTGATTACTTTTGGGTGGGAGCTGTAGCCAGCAGCAAGGGAGTTCGGTCTCTGCTCTCTAACTAGAGTCAGTTCTTGGGGGGCTGAGATTCCTGGAAGAAGGGGTTGCCTGTGGGCTGCTTGTGACCACCACTGTTCCAGGACTGGTGAATATAGTGTAAATAAATGAAGTTACACTAAGAAATTACCCAGACTCCTCATCTAACCGTCCCGCAAGGCCCAGATATCTGCTACTGCTGGGTAGAGGGACAGCAGCAGCATAAGATACCTGTCTAGTTAATAAGCAACTTCTGTACTGTGATTGTTGTTATTATCTGCTGGGCCCTGGCAATGTGCATGGTGCTGTACTGGACACGACACAGAAACAGCCCCTGCCCTGAGGTGCTTGCGACATAGCTGCGAAGGCAGGATGCACTGGGGAACCCAGGGGAAGGAAGAACTGGGGGCTGGTTATTCTTTGCGTGGCGAGTTCCCGTCCAGCAGGCCCAGCAGGAGACGTGAGTGGGAAGGAGTGCCTCGAGTGCAGGAGGGCGGTACCTGAGTGAGCAGGGATGGGGAGGGCCTTTGATGCAGAGAGGATGGCGGGGGACCAGTCATGGGAACGGCAGACAGAGACACAGGGGATCTTGAGCCTGCATCCTTGAGCCACAACTTCCCTCTCCCGTCGCTTCATCCATCTTGCCTGCCGCTGCATCAATTCACTGGCTGCCTCTTAAACTTCTGATCCCAGCCTTCCAGGCCCCACATCGCTCGGCCGACACCTCAGGCCCCATCTCCTTTGATGGAGCCCCCGCCACAATGCCAGCTTCAACACCTGTTCAGCCCCTTCTCTCACCAGTGTCCTCCCTCCCTCCCGGATGGAGCACCCTGCCTCAACCCGCTACCTTCCTCGCCTCCCCTGGAACCTCACTGCTGCTGTCCTGCCTACGAGCCGCAAAGGGGGGGGTTGGGGAGAGGAAAAGATGAGGTCACGAGGCAGATGTGCACATGCCTGGGAGAATGACTGACCGATCCCAGCAGGGGCACCTCCTGCGCTCCCCTTATCTCTCTGTTCAGCACGTCACATGTTGCATCGTGTCAGGTTCGGGGGGGTTAGACAATGGGCTTGGCCTGTCTGGCCGACAGCTGGAAAGACGCGATCCTACGGGCCTGATGCTGCCAGGTGCTGAGCATCCTCAACTCCCCCATGACTTTCCTTATAAGGTTTTATCCACTGGGGAGGAGGTGGGGTGTTATAGCCAGGTGACGTGTGCAAATGCACGTGCTTTTTGGGGGTCACTTTTGAGACACAATCACCCCATTTGGTAGCAGGCCAGCTGGGGAGGGGGGACAATTATTATCAGGCCTGATTTTCCTCTGGTGGCTTTGCCTTTTATCAACAAGCAGCAGGGGGAGGATTTGTCGGGTCTGTGCAGTCCTGAGCTACTCCAGATGGCTGTGTAATTCCTTCTCTTGCTTTGAATCCCGGGGCTTGGGGTGGACATCGGCTTCCATTAAAAGGGCCTTTGAGTCCAAACACATACGGAAAAGTATAAATCCAGCGCTGGCTCTGTGGACTTTGTGGATTTGGTTTGCAAAACAAAATATCTGTGTTGCTGAACGAATGCAGATGATTTCAAAATCCAGCTTAACATCAAGTCTGCGAGAAGCCTTGGGGATGAAAGGTGCTGGGCTGGGTGAATGTGAGATATTGCGACAGGGGAAACTTTCAAACCCTCCAACTTAAATCCATTCACTTTGCAGGTGTTTCTCCTTTGCTGTGTTTGCTAAGGACCCAAACACTCAGGGCCAAACTCTCTCCCGGTGTCACGCTCCGAGCCAAATCCTGCTGTCATTTGTAAAGCCAGAGTAACTTCGTCAAATAGACGGGGAAGGACTCGGATACTGGGGTGAAGATCGGTGCACATGTGCTTCAGATGGGCTGACAGCTGGATACGTGACCCCTTGGGTTTACGCCAGTATAACTGAGG